CGTAGATCAGGCTACTCAGAGCCCCATCCAGCCTGGCCTTGAACACTTGCAGGGATGATGAATCCTCAGCTTCCCTGAGCAACCTGTTCCAGCGTCTCACCACCCTCATGGGGAAGAACTTCCTCCTAATGTCCAATCTAAACCAATCCATCTCTAGCTTTAATCCATTCCCTTTAGTCCTATCACCACCCGATATCCGAAAAAGCCCCTCACCAGCTTTCTTGTAGCCCCCTTAGGATACTGGAAGGCCACAATAAGGTCTCCTTGGAGCCTTCTTTTCCATAGACTGAACCGCCCCAACTCTCTCAGTCTGTCTTCATAGGAGAGGTGCTCCAGCCCTCTGATCATCCTTGTGGCCCTCCTCTGGACACGCTCCAGCACGTCCATATCTTTCTTGTTCTGTGGGCTCCAGAACTGGACGCAGTACTCCAGGAGTGGAGTAGAGGGGGAGAATCACCTCCCTAGACCTGTTGGCCACGCACCTCTTGATGCAGCCCAGGATATGACTGGCTTTCTGGGCTGCAAAGGCACACTGATGACTCACGTTATGCTTCTCATCCACCAGTACCCCCAAGTCCACTACACAGCAAGATCCACTATAGAGCAAAATGGTCACCCTGAGTGGGTCCAAAGCTGCCCTGGGCCATTTTCAGGCTGGCAGAAATGTCCTTGGGTGTGTATGTGTGGTGGGTCTGTGTGTGTGGAGGGTCATTTGCGAGGTCCAGTTGTCACCTCCCAGTTTTAGCCCATGCCTGGGCCATATGTATGGAAATGCATGATCTATGTTCTTGGAGTCATGCTTAGGCCAAGAGGTACCTGCATGTCTGGGTGTGTGTGCATCTGTGTGGGTGGCCACATATGGTCTCACGCACAGATAAATATACTTGAATCGAAACACCCACAGACATGAATATGTATATATATTTATAAACATTCACACAGTCACATGTACCCACGCATACACGCATGCAATCGCATCAATACTTATTTGTATGCATGTATACACAACACATACATATGACTCTCTCTCTCTGTTCTTGTGCACTCTAATGTGTGCAGATGAACTCTGAGCAGCTGGCAGAATGGGCTCTCCATGTCTCCAACACCCCATCTACGATCAAATGTTTGCTGGGAAGAGGCATTGCACAATGCTGCTGAAATCACTGCGGCCCTTTCTAGCCTTGCAGCACTGATCTCTACGTGATGAGAATAAAACCTTTTGTGCAGCACAGGGCTTGATGGAGCCCTTATCTCTGTGTTTCTGCACCCAGAATAGAAAAATCCGTTTCCACATCTGACTGGAACAAATCCCCCTGAACATGGCCAGAATTTCACTCAGCCACTGCGCAGAGTCCCTGGGGCCTCTGGGTTGCCCAGAGTCAACTAGACCATTGTTAGGAAAGGGAGAGGGATCGCAAGGGCAGTCAGATTAATGCTATTACCACAGAAAAAGCTGAGGATTCATCAGGAAGGGAGACAGAGCTGGGGAGAGAGACAGGGGTCAGGAGTTACTGAGGTCCGGTCCGTCATTCCAAAAGTCCGTTCCTATGAAAAATAGTCTTTTAATCAATGCTGATATTTTGCAGTATTATGTAGTGTTTGTTTTCTTCTCATGAATTTCGGACAAAAAATGCCATTTCTCTTCTCTCCCCTCAGTCGTAGTTTCAGTTCATCTCCTTCCCTTCCCCCCACCCCCACCCCCAATTTATGGCTGAAAAATAGAATGCAGCATAGAGGAGAGAAGAAAACACAAGACAGAAAAATGTGATGCTTGTGACTGTTTCCTTTCAAACTCCTATTTAAACTGAAGACCTCCCTGTTTTTTGCAGGTCTCTCTGGAATGCATTTTGTTTTCTCCAGCAGCTCCCTGCAGAGCTGCCTTGCTAGTGGGCTCAGATACTCCATATATCAAAATGATGCCTCCTTGGCGCAATTGCTTAGTGCTGGCATTGCAGTGCTCTTCGGAGACGTAGGTATTTTAAGAAGCCAACCAATTGGTGGAATTTCTTGAGTGGTGACTTGCAGCAGATGGAGCTGCAAAGGCATGTAAAACGAAGTCTCAGCTGAATTCATTGGTCTCTGTTAAGCGTGTCGGCAGCCAGGGAACTCCCCCATCTCCCCACAGCAGCTGGGCAGCCACTCTGTGGAGAAGGAAACCCTTCCCAGATCTGTCCTCCACCCACCTGAGCTGCTTTCTGCAAGGTCCTCACATGCCTTCTTCAGTGCCCGGTCACCAGCCATGAACAGTGCTACATGCTCCCCAGCTAATGCTATTTTTCCACTGTTTTACAGGGATTGCTGTGCCAGTGGTGCCCAGCACTCACCCTGCCCCGCTCCTCATTGCAAGAAGGGCAACACAGACCCCCTTTAAAGTGCTGTGTTTTCCATTGATCTGATCATTTGGTAGCCAGACCTTTTAATCTTCCTGCTGCCTGTTGCCCCCATATAGAGGCAAGAGTTTTGGCAATTCATCTTCATTCAGCTAGGGTTTCTTGATCATGCTTCGTCCAGCGGGTTCTGTGGCAGCCTCCCAAGCAAAAGAAAAAAAAAAAAAGAAAATAATAAAGAAAAGGCTTTTTAGTCCAACAGACTGTGTATCCCACACCCATGGACAATTTGGCTGTTTTTCTCACAGAGGTCCACAGTGTGGGCAGCCAGTGCATGGATGGAAGGAGGGGGAGATGTGAAGAGGTAGCAGAGGATAGAAACCAGCTACCAAGCACTTTCTTTTCCCAGCCTGTGCTCCTGGGTGCTGCTCTGGCTGCCCACACTCAGGGGAGTAAGTGTGCACTGTAAGAGGAGCTAAGCAATAGCTCTGTGGTTCTGGCCTGACTAGGACATGTCTCCTTACCTGACACCCTGCAATGGTCTTTTCCTGAACTCAAGTACCCTGCACTGCAGTTTTTCTGACGCCTGCTAGACCTTCATTTCTTCTCACATTGCCTTTGTGTGACCTTATCTCTTGCTTCTTTCTAAAGTAATTCTGTTCCCATCATCCACAGCTGCTGCAGCGTGTTCTGCTTCTCCGTCCAGGGCTTTTGTCTTCTGTCCCAGCACACCTTACCCCATGCTGTCTCTTCACATCTCATGCCTTCTCTGAAGAGATCTGTGAGACATCTTTCCATTGCCCAGCCAGCTCTTGTCACTGACCCTCCACAGATTGCCACCTCCAACACCTGCTGACCTCAGGGAGGTCTATCTCCTTCTGGTGGGTCTCTCCTTCCCATTTCTTAAACTAATTCCTGGAGAAAAGTTCTCAGATATAATCAAGGGCTCTGGTATGACAGTCTTTTTGGTGGCTATAGCTTAGCAAGAGCATTCTTGGAGAAGTTCAAGGTGTGAGGACAGATATTTAGAGGAGCTTGAAGGCACAAAACCAAAGTGGAGAGAGAGGCCTTAATCCCCCCTTTATACGTTGCTGCTCCTCTAGCCTGCACACTGATATGGCCTCATCCACAACTTCCCTTCAACAGTCAATGCACAGAAGCAAGCATTCACAGGAACACACATACTCTTACACTCTTACCCAAGTTTGCATGTGTGCTCACGTTTCCATGTATACTTGCATGCCTACACAACCATATCTACACATTAACACTCCACAGTTACAAAAACACATCTCCTCATCTGTGTTTGTATATGCTTACACACATGCATAACCCCTTATGTACATTTGGACACATTTATACACACCCCACAGCCACGCACAGACTGGCATCAGTGCCCAGCTCACACACATCTCCAACCCAGCCCTGACTCCTCAATCTCTGATCCTATTCAGCTGTTCTCATACACATAGAGTCCGGTGATCAAACTTTTGCTCACAGCCACCCTTGTATATGTGCAGATGCATCATTTCTTTTCCATCCTGAACCAAATAGTCTACCATTTCCCACAAGATGAATCAGTTCCTAGTATTGCCCAGACTCCTGCAACCAAAGCTCTCACACACTGGAAATCCCCTGACCTCCCCCTCCTCCCTGACCCCATCCTGTACTGATACACGCCTTGATCTCTCATGTCAGTCAAACGCTACTCCATGCACACATCATCTCATATCAAAGACATTGTGTATTCTCAGGAGAGCCAAATTTATAGCAACTCCTCCACTAAACATGCAGAATCTGTCCAGCTGGCTTTTCAAGTCCAAAGGCTTTTTGTTTATTTACAGTAAGGCTCAGGGAGAGGAAAAGGGAAAGAACATTTCAGCTTGTGAGAAACCCTGCCTCCAATCCACGCCTCATTGTCTTCTTCTCTACCCTTGTTACACCTTCCATCAGGGTGCAGAAGCAGCAGGAAAACCCTGCAGAATGCAAGGTGCAGGAAAGAAATGCCCCATTTGCTCTCCCAGGTAAGTCTCATCAGCCTACCCAGAGTCCATGAGAGACCTAGAAAGAAAAAAAACAGGCTTTGAGCAGTCAGAGAAGTCTCCAGCCATGACCAGCATGGGTAGAAAAGTTGTCCCCAAGACAGGATGGCTAGAGAGGGGTCAGCCATTCATGCAACTGGCTGGTAGGTCTTCACAATGCAGACATTTTTCCTTCCTGTTTTTTCTTTTATGGGAAACTGCTTCTTGTCTTCATAAGGAAGATAATCAAGGCACTGGGATGCCTATTTGTTGTATATGCCGTTTGAGGACTTCCTTGAGGTGTTGCAGTCAGGTAGCAGCTGATGTGCTTCACAGCCAGGTCATCTAAGGGTGGATCATGCAGTCTAGGGCTGATTTTGCTCTCTTCATACTGTCAGTGCCCATCACCTCCTCAGCTCTCCCTGGATGCAGTCTTTCCTTTACCACACAAACCTCAGGTGTCCCTTTCAAAGCCAAGAACAATGCCTTGCTTTTTCCACAAGTTCATGGAGCTCTCTTCATCTTTAAACAGAGTCTTGGACTTTATTATTCCCTTCTATCAATGATTCCCATTGCCTTTGAGGTGGAAAAGCTCAGAGGGTGAAGGGGGTCCCATGTCCCAATGTCTCTTTCCCCTGCACCACCCCTTTCATCATAAATAGCTGACACGCAACTTGTTGCTCTTTTCGCATCCCACAGGCTCCTCAGGGAGTGTTTTTTGCTCATTGCTTTCTCCTTCCCCACTGCTTAGAGGGTGTTCCTGCCTGTGATTACCATTCTGGGTGATCTTGCTGATCTCACCCTCTTCCCCTTCATCATCAGTCTTCTCTGGGAGGCATGCTGGCACCTCCTGGCTCTGGACTCGGCGAGACGGCCTAAGGATGGCCCGCCGGAAGCCTTGCTTGAAGCGGTAGGAAAGAAAGCCGTAGATGATGGGATTGGCACAGCTGTTGGCATATGGCAGCACCACCACGAGGAAGTAGACACCAAAGAGAGATGGCTCCTCTGGCAGCGGGCAGACAACGTTGATTATGTTGAGGACATAGAAGGGAAGCCAGCAAAGGACAAAGACAGCCACAACAGCCACCACCATGCGGGTCACTCTGCGCTCTGAAAGCTTATGTTTGGAGGATAGAGCTCTCACCCGCCTGCCAGAGGAACGAACCTTCACAACAATAAGAAGATAGCAGAGACAAATCACCAGCAGTGGCCCAAAGAAGCCTAGGGTAGCAGTATAGACAATGAAGCCAGCTCTCCACACTGAGGCAGGCTCTGGCCACTGGATGTGGCATGTGCTCATCCCTAAAGGGACATCTGAGAAGATGACCACGGGCAGCACGACTATGGAAGACAGCACCCACACAGTTGCACTCACAGCCTTGGCCACTCGTGCTGTCCGCCATTTGGACGACTTCCCTGGGTGGACCACGGCCAGGTAGCGATCAACACTCATCACCGTCAGGCAGAAGATGCTGGTGAACTGGTTGATGGCATCCACAGCCATCACCAGGCGGCACATGAAAGATCCAAATGGCCAGTAGGACAGGGCATTTTGTGCAGCCAGGAACGGCAGGCCCAGCATGAAAAGCTCATCAGCTAGAGCCAAGTTTAAGATGTAGACATTGGTCACCGACTCGCTCACAGAGTGCCGCAGGACCACGTAAATGACCAGAGAATTCCCAGCCAACCCCACCACGCAGACAATGAGGTAGACCAGGGGGATGAGGACACCGCTGACAACCACACCAGGGCTGGCGGTGGTGGAGCCGTTAGGAGTGGTGAAACCTGCCCAGCTTCCAGAGGCATTCCCTTCCTCCAATCCTGATGGTGTGGGGAGGCTGAAAGCAGAAGTGTCCATAGCAGAGACAAGGAAGAGGGCAGGAGGCAGTGTCCTTGCAGGAACAGTTAGCAATCTGGAGGTGAGAGGAGGAGAAAAAAGCCATTGATACTGGGGATATGACAACTGAACAAGCCGCAGATAAAATCATCATGTTTACTGTGCATAGGTACGGACAGGCATGGAAAGTCAAGTTGAGTTTGTGGGTGCTGGCAGCTGGAAGATGCAGGACAATATCAACTTCATGTAGTCCTGGGAGGCACGGTGGGCATGGAGGGATAAATAGGGACATAACACAATGTGGGGGGAATGGATCCTCTCCCCTAGGGAGACATCCTCAGGGGAAAGAACCACAGACTAGGACAGGGATGGGGGAATTTCTCATTTTCTGCTAATGTCTCCAGTACTGAGGATATATTCACCAGGGGTGTGATTCTCGTTTATGAATGGGAGGTGCCTTATGAACTAGAGAGGGAAGACCATCCAGTGATAAAGTGCCATTCTAACTCTGACTCCCCCATGCACTGAGTATCCACCTGCTTGCTGAAGCTTTTCTGGGACGGGCCAGGTTATCGTGGAGGTTCTTAGCCCGACCAGCAGAAACAGAAGCATCTCCAATCAATCCAAGCCAAGAGGAGCTGGAGGGCAGCTGGTTTGTGTTTAGAATCATAGAATGGCCTAAGTTGGATCGGACCTTAGAGATCATCTAATCCAACTTCCC